CCAAGACCAGCATGTTGCCTTGGTGATGACCAAATGGAGTGGAATGTAGCCAATCATAATGGGAGGTTGGTTAGGATCAGGTTATGTATCAACACTTCGATAGGTGAATTTCTGCAAATTACTGAATACTGACTATTCAAAGTGCGGATTAAAGAAACACTGTATTATATCGTCAAAGAAGGCTTTTGAATGTTCATTAAAGGATTTTTGGAAGAGATGTGAAGTAAGATGAACTCAACTCACGAGTTTTGTGAAATTACTGAGCTCAATTCACTTAGTGGGGAGATTCATTTTACACTGAGCTAATAAATGGGTTGAATCATGGATTGAAAATTAAATGAGAAAAGTTTTTCGCCTTTTAAAAGTGACACTTTAACCTCTATCTACTTCAACAGGTCGATAACTTTATAGCACCTCTAAATATACCTTTAAAAATTTGTGATTTTACCTTTTAATAATTGCCTATTATTGTTAATAAGCGATACACAACAAAAAATGAACGGGAGGTGGGAATTCTATCATGTTTTGATTCAATTTCTTGTGTTACATCCCAACGTGCAGCATATTCTAGAGGGGTTGGTAGAAATGGTTTCTCGAAGTGGATTTTAGTAACATATCTAGAGTAATTGGGGAGAATATGACTGTTAATAAAGTATTAGTTATTTTCTGAATTGGATGAATATTTATGTCAATGTACTCACACATCCACATCAGATACAGTTTATTAAATCCAAAAGAGGCGGACAATCCGTAAGCGTTATTTCTAACAGAAAGGAATTTCAACAATCAATTTTGCTTAAACCTCGCTTATTTACATTTCAGACCACTTGGTGACCTACGTTTCCTTCGACTGTGGCATGACAACCGTGGGAGAGGGGATAGTGCATCATGGTACTGCGATTTCGTCTGCGTCATCGATCTGCAGACAAAAACTCGCTTCAACTTCATTGTTGAAAAGTGGTTTGGTGTAGATGAAGGCGATGGTCTGGTAAGAAGTGGTCCTCATCACTAATCCCTCCTTAAATTTCGATTTTCTTTAAGCGTATTCGTTTTAGGTTGATCGTGTAATTCCAGTCGCAGGACCAATTGATAGACTTCGAGTCTATTATATATTCTCGCACAAGGTGAAGAGTGATGCAAGCGATAACCACCTCTGGGCTTCGATTTTCACACGTCCTGCTCACTCCCGATTCACTCGTGTTGAAAGAGTCGCCTGCTGTCTTTTAATTCTCTTCCTAACCATGGTCTCATCTTGCATGTTTTACAGGAATGAAGGGCCGGAAGTCGTTGATTTCGAATTCACGATTGGGCCGTTTGCCCTTACACCCTATGTGGTTAGTCTGAGTTTTCATTTAGGAAGTATAATTCAATGTCCCCACCATTATGACATTTGCTGCCTTTATTCTAGGCCTACACAGGAGCTGTAACGTGTCTCATAACCTTTGTTCCTGTCACACTGATCATGCTACTCTTCAGGAACTCCAAGCTTCGGGTCAGTCATACAACTCTGCTAAGGGGTGTTGTGGAAGATCATCTGGATGAAGAATTGGAAGATGACGATTGTGAGAATACTATTAGGGAAAATGGACCGCAACTACATCATCCGTACGTTTAGTGTTGTGAACACTCATGTCACTTGGAGGACAATTTCTAATCGTCGTTCATTGGTATCTCTTGAAAAGCGTTTCCACATTCTTACAATAATTGTAGTTCTTGTTATATTGTGAGACTACGGTTTCCCCAGGCTCAGAGAGAGGCTAGAATTAATGCGGAAGACTCCATTAGATCTATGAGTACGTATCGTCTTTATATTACTGTCGTTGAAATTGCAAAACAAGCAACAGACAAGTATCTCTCAAGTTCCTTCTCGCATATTCACAAGACTGATGAGTCGCTTAGAGAATAACTGCTGAAATCGTTCTGTGCTTTGGCAGTTGCTGTCTGATCGACGCGATGTATGTCCATGTGGGGTGTGCGATAGACTTACCTCCACGTGGTGCACCCTGGGCAATGTATACTCATACGGCCAAAAAGTCTATCAACTGGCAGTTGGCCTCTGACTTCAAACTACCATGACCACACTGTATGTCATATTCGACCCCTTCCATCGAACTCATCTAGCCTTTTCTCTGCCTTTGTGTCTGTCTGTCCGACAGTTTTAAAAGAAACTTATTTGAGAGATTATTACGGATTTTTACACTATTGAACCTCGACTTAACCTCAATTATCTTTATGACAAGATCCTCTAGTTTTGAATGGCTCCATGAAATGGCTAATCTACCTCACCGATTTAGAGTAAACCTAGTATCTTTAAAAAAGCGAATTTCGAAGAGATTCATGAACTCACATGCAAATACACCTTTTAAGAGTACAAGACCACTTTAGGAAAAAGATTGTGAGAACCAATTATCAAATATTTACAAATTCCCAATTTCCAAATTCGCTCATTTTGTTGATTTCAGTCAAATTGGAAATTCTAGAATTCAAATAATTGTAAAAATTAACAACATTTTTTTGCACTTGAATATAATAGAGAAAATAATTTTAATTTTAGTGCCGGCATTGACCAACCTCGACAGTCCTATTCAGAAACACCGGAGTTGTTTGAGAAGGAAACAGAGGAAAAGGGTAAGGAATCCTTGAAAAGCAAACTTGGAGACATTTCTTTTCCTTGGGAAATGCGTATTCTCGCTTGGTTCCTCCTTATTGGAGCCATTGCAGCGTCGGTTGTCTTCACCACATTCTACGGAATCAGTTTTGGTGACGCTGCTTGCAAACAGTGGCTATCTTCTCTCTTCGTTTCCTTCTTTATGGACCTTTGCCTGACACAACCCATTAAAGTGTGTCTCTTAACTACTTTACACCTATTAGTAGACTGTATTTAGTATTAATGGATTTTAAATCC